AAAATACTAGTTACCTGATTCTGAGTACTTTTTTGGTCCATTGCTGACCTGGAATAAGTAGGCAGCCGGTGATGTCCTGCTATGCATGCTTGTTTCAAGGCGGTGACTCCATGTATTGGATTTATAGTACGCATGGCAGCAGGCAGCAAGCATTATTAGGAGGCAGCCCATGTATTTCTACCAGCACACATCTCCTGCTAAATCTAAGTGTGTCCGGGCGATTCAATATGGAGATCGATGTGCAAGGAAGACGCCCATCGGAAGAAAAAACACATTGAAGAGAATCTATCAAAACTGGAGCAGATGTTGATGGCAACCAATCAGCTCCTCTCTTCGGCTTGTTCAGTTAAGATTTGAGAATGAAAGAGAGAAGCTGATTGGTTGCAATGAACATCTGCTCCAGTTTTGATAAATTCCCTCCATTATCTGATGTTTTATGTACAAGGTTCCCTAAAATCCCATGTAGGCTCATTTTCTGTGAGTTGTAAGTTTACAAGGGATGTTGGCGCCCCCTTCATCGGGGTAAATAACCTTCCCAAACCTCAAACATGTTGCATTATTTAGTGCTAAATGTAGGCCAGTTTTTCACCATTGTCCCCCCCTCACTGTCCTGGAACAGTACCGGTCCGGATTCTGGTCCCTTCTTTAATCAGGATTTCTGTGTTTCTAGGATGACGATTCTTCCTCCTATGGAGAAGCTGAAGCTGCTGCTACAGAAAGTCAAAGAGTTTCACGTCCAGTTCCTGGATGAGTATTCCTGAAGACGTCGGCAATCCACAGACATGACTGACATCAGATGCAAAGCTGACATGACTGACAGGGAGGCCGTGCACGCAATACAATAAGCTGAACGTTATGAATGTGTGATAATGAGAATGTTCTACTTTTAGAATATCATGGGCATCCTGGAGGAAATTAGAGGAAAAGCAAATCAAGACGTTCCGGGCAACCAGCCGTGTTTTAGACCAGCCGGGCAACCAGCCGTGTTTTAGACCAGCCGGGCAACCAGCCGTGTAACCAGCCGTGTTTTAGACCAGCCGGGCAACCAGCCGTGTTTTAGACCAGCCGGGCAACCAGCCGTGTTTTAGACCGGCCGGGCGACCAGCTGGGATTTGCTGTATTCCTCTATAGCTGGTGTCATTCTGCATTCATTGCTGTATCATTTTACACTTTTCCTTTCACTATATTGCACAACACACTTTTTTGTTTTTTCTTTTTTACTTCCACCGCTCCAAGCTTGCTCCTGTGATGGACTACAATCTACAAACTAGTAGTCCCATCACTGGAGCAATTTAAAAAAAATGATTTTGTTTTTTTATCCGATTAATCGAAATGAATAATCGGCTAACTAATCGATTTTGAAAATAATAAGTTAGCTGCAGCTCTATAGCAGACCTCCTAGTGCTCCTCATCAGCGGCTCTGCATTGACGGCTCCTTCAAAGGCAGCACTTCAGAGGCATTGAAAGGCACTGCAGGCCCGTATCTGCTTGGCGGTACACTGATTAAGGTACCTCGGTGATATTTATTTTTTTATTGCATTTAACAAAGTTTCTTTCTACAAAAGCAAAGTTTACATATTCTTAGCTACTGTACATGTGCCTGTTACATTCAAATGTTTGAGAACATATGTTTATAATTTTAAGAAAAATACCTAAAATTGTCTGTTTATATTTATAGACCACAAATGTCTGTTACATAAAGATACAATTTCCTACTACGTGACATGTTTATAAAAAGACAACTCCTGTTTACAGCATAAAAAAAAGCCCAAAAATGGTTTGTTAAAGTGTTTTTTGTTTTTTGCTTTTTTCTGGTGGGCAGCATTTTGCATTCGCATTCAGTACCTCCTACAGTCCAGTAGGGTGGCAGTGTTCCGGGGGATGCAGTACCTCCTACAATCCCGTAGTTGGCGGTGTTCCGGGGGATGCAGTAACTCCTACAATCCCGTAGTTGGCGGTGTCCCGGGGGATGCAGTAACTCCTACAATCCCGTAGTTGGCGGTGTTCCGGGGATGCAGTAACTCCTACAATCCCGTAGTTGGCGGTGTTCCGGGGGTGCAGTAACTCCTACAATCTCTGTAGAGTGGAGGTGTCCCGGGGGATGCAGTACCTCCTACAATCCCGTAGTTGGCGGTGTTCCGGGGATGCAGTAACTCCTACAATCCCGTAGTTGGCGGTGTTCCGGGGATGCAGTAACTCCTACAATCCCGTAGTTGGCGGTGTCCCGGGGGATGCAGTAACTCCTACAATCCCGTAGTTGGCGGTGTTCTGGGGATGCAGTACCTCCTACAATCTCTGTAGGGTGGAGGTGTTCCGGGGATGCAGTACCTCCTACAATCCCGTAGTTGGCGGTGTCCCGGGGGATGCAGTAACTCCTACAATCTCTGTAGAGTGGAGGTGTCCCGGGGGATGCAGTAACTCCTACAATCCCGTAGTTGGCAGTGTCCCGGGGGATGCAGTAACTCCTACAATCCCGTAGTTGGCGGTGTTCCGGGGGATGCAGTAACTCCTACAATCTTGTAGGGTGGTGGGGATGCAGTACTTGCAGGACCATAGACATTGTGGACGCCGTGTGTGACAACCAGATCACATGCAAAGCCATAGCAGCCAATCTGAGTGGTTTTGTGCCTTGTGATCTCTGCGAACCAATCAGAGCGATCACAAGTGTAAACACTGGCTTTGTTTACAAACACCCGGACCACAACCGTGAAGGAGGGAGGGACTGTAGCAGATGGAAGGAAGAAGACGTTGTCAGCAGAGGAAGACTTATCTGTGAGAAGGGAAAGGTAAGTGAAGGAAACCCCAAAATTTTTTTTTTTTTTCTTTATACAGATGATGATAAATATCCCCAAAAAAGTTCTGTGTGCCCTAGAGAGGCCTAAAATCCATGCGGGTTGTATTCCATGACAGATGTAATTGATGTGATCAAGAAACCAATAACTTCCCTTTAAAATAGTGCTTGGGGGTGGAGCATATTTCTTGGGGTGCTACTACTATTGGAGCACATGTCTGGGGGGAGATTGGGATTGCTCTTGGACCATGTTCCCTGGGGGGACCTACCTCTGCACCAGCTCTGTCAAGCTCACTGACATCACTGGTTGGGTACACTAGCCAGAGTCACAGGCTGCTAAGAACAGTTCTCCCACCTCCACTCCAGCAATGGTATGTCCCTTCGCATCCTTGTGTCCTATACACTGTATAGAACGTGATGACTCTGGGACCAGGAGAGAGGCGTAATGGACCGGTATAATGTAATACCACATTATGGCCACTAGATGGAGCCGAGGAGTCATGTAATACTGTAATATGGCCACTAGATGGAGCCGAGGAGTCATGTAATACTGTATTATGACCACTAGATGGAGCTGAGGAGTCATGTAATACATTATTATGACCACTAGATGGAGCTGAGGAGTCATGTAATACTGCATTATGACCACTAGATGGAGCTGAGGAGTCATGTAATACATCATTATGACCACTAGATGGAGCTGAGGAGTCATGTAATACATCATTATGACCACTAGATGGAGCAGAGGAGTCATGTAATACATCATTATGACCACTAGATGGAGCAGAGGAGTCATGTAATACTGTATTATGGCCACTAGATGGAGTTGAGGAGCATAGGAAAAATAAGTATTTATTTTAGTATTGATGTTATTACACGCCTGGTTCCTGACAGATAATAGGATGTGGATTTATCATACGGGTCTCCTCTCCTACCTCCCATCTATTCCAGAACAGCAGCTTCCATCAGACTCTTCAGTATTTGACACTTCTGGGAGTGTCGCACAGCTGAGCGTGGAAACTGAGACGATGTAGCCCGTCCTCCCCCATCCAGAGCTATCCCTTTAAATCAGCACAGCAGCCAGTCAGATTCCAGGTCAGTACAATCATGAATTCTGATTGGTTGCTCTGAACGGGCACTTCCTTTGCATTGCTCTGCTGCATTCTTTGGGAGCACAATGAAGCATTCGCACTCCATCTGTCCCAAAGAGCTTACCCTCTAATGTCTATAACGGTTGATGTTAATGGGTGTTTGAATCAAAAAAACTGCGTTTGATCTGCATTTGAATTCACCTCAATAGGACCTCCTGCGTCCAATCAAATGCAGCACGACGCAGGTTAAACATGGCCCCTGAACTGTCATGTGTTCTGCTCCATTAGTCAATGGGAGTTTGCTGTCCTGTGTTTCAAAAGCATGCAAACAACATCTGTCGGCATGAGCCCCAATACAGACACACCGGGGGTAACTCGGCATGAGCCCCAATACAGACACACCGGGGGTAACTCGGCATGAGCCCCAATACAGACACACCGGGGGGTAACTCTGCATGAGCCCAGGCATAAGCCCCAATACAGGCACACACCGGGGGGTAACTCGACATGACCCCCAATACAGACACACCGGGGGTACCTTGGAATGAGCCCCAATACAGACACACCGGGGGTAACTCCGCATGAGCCCCCAAAAAAGAAACACCCGGGGTACATTTCGGCATGAGCCCCAATACAGACACACCGGGGGGTAACTCGGCATGAGCCCCAATACAGACACACCGGGGGTACCTTGGAATGAGCCCCAAGACAGATACACCGGGGGGTAACTCGGCATGACCCCCAATACAGACACACCGGGGGTACCTTGGAATGAGCCCCAATACAGGCACACACCGGGGGGTAACTCGGCATGACCCCCAATACAGACACACCGGGGGTACCTTCGCATGAGCCCCAATACAGACACACTGCTCATGTTGCAGGTGTTGAATACAGACCCCGCCCCTGTGCAGGTCAAGGGATGCATAAGCCCCACCCCTCTATATGCCTATCCCTTCCTATTACCCCTAGTAAGCTCCACCCCCTTGTGATATAAAGCAGGTGACTTCTTCATGGACCACACCTATGTGACCCCTTCAGCTGCATACAGGGTGGTTGCGAAAGCTGTGGTCAGGCCGAGCTCAGTTTGTGGCCCCTGAAGGGTCTGATCCATGACGATGCACCCCAAGAGGACCAGGAAGCAGGCGGGCAACAGGGCGAAGGGGAGCGGAGATTCTGGCCTGGGGCTGGCGGACCCCCTGCAGGAGCAGAAGAATGAGAAGATTCGCCTCTTCATGTTGGACTTCATCCAGCAAAGTGAGTGTGACGAACCTGCACTTGCCTGGGGCCCTATAACATTTTCATACACTGGGCTCCAACTACAGATCATGGGGCCCCCATAGCAAACATGTGATGGGTCCCCTCCTGATGACCTCTAATCCGGAGATCCTAAAGACTCCTCTTGTGCATCGGATGTCGTCTCTACACTTTGTGGGTGATTCACATGTTCTATGTTTAATTTGCCTTAACCTGAGGCCCCCTTCCACCCTCGGGCCCTATAGCAGCTGGCTGGGATGCTATGGCTGTGGTTGTATGCTGCATTGTACAGAGCCCTTTGATTTGTTTTTATGCTTTTATTTTGGCCAATGGCAAGTGATATCTGCTGTGACCTCATTGGACGTCCTCTTCCTATTGAGAGAAAGCTGCACCAACAGATGTGAGTGTGCTCATCGAAGTTTATGGCCTTGTTCACACTAGCGCAGTTTGTCTGGTGTCTGCATGAAAATGACAGTCGCATTATACCGATGC